GGAACTGTAGTATAATCTTTGCCTGTGTGAGTTCTATAGGGTTAAATCAGGAACAGAACTAGCAAGCTTAATTAATTTTATGTGGAATTCCTTTAACTCAAAAAGATTTATATAGCTAACCCCTCTAAGAAAGGGATGCTGTTAGTTAACTCCATGCTTGAGAGGAGACCAATGGCGCCTAACAACAGAGTCTCAGTTTATTACCCTTTAAAATTTGACCTGGTGACTGTATATACTTAGCTTATTATTGCTGTTGGGCCTTTGCATATATCAAAACATCTTCATTAAGTTGTATGCTAATTTGCTGTTAACTTTCATTTCAATATATCTGAGGAAGTGTGCATGCACACAAATACTCATACCTTGAATAAAACTTCGTTGGTCTTAAAGGTGCCACTGGACTCTAACTTTTACCCACGTCCTGGGGGGCTTCAGCCCAGCTCTTGGGGTTTTCTGTCACCAGAGTTTTTACCCAAATGCTAGAGCATCCCCTGCTTTATGTGCCTGGCATGATGACATCAGTGTCATTGCACCGAGCGTAACGGGGATCTTTGGAGGCAGGGCTCCCCCCACTGGCCAGCGGAGGATTGGGGCCCCCAAAAGCAGGAAAAAACCCACCCCCATTGGAGGAATGGCAACCCTAGTAACCAGTCTGCATTTTGTGGCTTGTAATACATAGCCCTACAATAATGATATAATTACAATATACCAGTTATATTAAATTTCATCTCCCCTTTTACTAATTAACTTTTCTCATTCATAGTTTCCCAATTACCTTATATAAGGTTATTAAAAAACCTAGAAAATCTTAACTGGCTCCCCACCAAATAGTAATTTCCAAGTAGCCATCCTCCATCATTGACTCTGCCCCTACTGGGCTAAGCCAAGCAATTCCTGGAGTTGCCATTGGAATGAATTAGCCTAAAACTGCAACTGTCAAGTGCTTGAGAAACTACCCAGTTCTTCCTTGCAGAACATCACTGATGGGGATGTAAACAACAACAAAACCCCCACCTCTATATGCTTCATTCTTGAATATTTCCTGGGAAAAGTGAAGAAAATAGTGAACTGACAGGAATTTCTTTCCACTTGTTCAGGAATACTCATGGCAAAATACGGCAGTGGCTGGAAGGAGCAGAGAAAATTCTGTGTCTCCACTCTGAAAAACTTTGGGATGGGGAAGAAAACACTTGAAGAGAGGGTGTCTGAGGAAGCTGGGTTTCTGTGCTCTGAATTCAAATCACAGAAAGGTACACTTTATTCTTGGGCACCAGAAGGAGGCTGGTCCTTGTGGCTATTCAGTAGCAAGGGATGGTAACTGAAATTTTGGATCAATTATGTTGAGTGAATATTTTTAAAATGGCAGACTTGAGAAGAAAATGGGATAATAGAACAATATATATGATCCTAATAGCAGAGAGGTAACTGAGAGGTCACATTCCTGGAGTTTTCTTTCTTTAATAAGTTTATGGACCTGGCCTGGTCCAATTCAAACTGTTAGCATGTTGCAGGTTGGCATATCTTGCTCCTGAAAGGGGCATGTGTTTCATCACTCCCAAGGTCTAGTGCTAGGGATGCCAGCCTAACCTCTATGACAAAAAAGATCATAGAGATTTGGGGAAGTTTCTAGAGCACTGCTGGTGCCGTGATGTCACTTCCAGGTGCATACTCAGAAGTGACATCATGATATCTGCCCCACTGTTGCCCCCTCCCATTGTTTCTCCTGGTGCTCCGTAAGCATCGGGGAAGGAGCAATGTGGCAGGAGGCTGCCCACCACGGGCAAACAACTGGGAAACCCATAGAGCATCAATTTGTCCTTATCCACATCACATCTGCTACCTATTTTCCATGTGCAGAGCACTTACTCTGTGAGTCAAAAAAGGACTAGGTTATGTTTGTGATCCATCCAGGAGTCAGCTGCTTCCCAGCACTAGATCACATCGTAGTAGAAATGACCGTTTGTCTACAAATCATTATAATGTTTTATGATGGAGTGCAAAATATTACTAAACAATACATACCATTTCCTGCTTGCAGGGTTAGAATTAACATTCATTGGCACAATAAGAACAGAAGTGGCCTGTGACGTGTTGGAGACTAACAAGTTTAGGCAGTTTCCACATGGCAAAGATTATTTGTGTGGCTCTTGTTGGGCTTCAAGTGGAGAGGTCTTCACAGAGGCGACAGAGCATTCACATGGCCTTCCCCCCTGCACTCTTCTTGCCTCAGTCTCCTGCAGCTGCCATTCCCCCCAACCTAAGGGGTTTCCTTGAACTTTCAAAAGATATTGTCAAGTACTAGACAGCTGTAGTTCTACAACAACAATCTATTGCCATGACTTACTAGCTCCTCTGAATTCCTAGCCTCTCTAGCCCTTTGTGTTGCTTATGGGGTAAACTTTTCCTCATCACCACAACAGAAAGGGCTAGAGGCTTGCTTTCTTTAAAGGAGGGAAATAAGCAGGGCTCTAGTCGGGGGGGAGCTCTCAGGTACGGAGCTCCGGAAGAAAACCTCTAGGGGGCGGGGCGGTCACGTGGTGAAGCCCCGCCCCCTTCTTTACCCCGCCCTCTGCTTCGATCCTCATTCCGTTTGGGAATGAGGATGAAGCAGAAGGGTAAGTAGCCGGGCCTTCTGACACACTTCCGGTGATGTCAGGGGGTGTGGCCTTCTGTCACTTCCGGTGATGTCAGGGGGCGTGGCATATGCAAATAAGTTATGCTAATGAGTTATGCTAATGAGCTCCGGCAGCTCTTTTTCTACAACAAGACCCCTGGAAATAAGAGAAGGAAATGAGGATTGAAATGAGCCACACTTTATTGCAATGAAAAATACATTACCAAAAAAAAAGTGAGAATATGAAAAGCAAACAGGGGCCAGGATGGGGTAGAGGAATGTGCAGAAGAGTGGGGAGAAGAAAAACCAAGTGATAAGAACTGAGACAGACGTTTCTTTCAAACCTGCAGGAGATAGAGAAGAGAACAAGGATTCAAAAGAGGTACACTAAATTGCCTGGACACTCTTAAGGAGTGGCAAATTAGTAGCACTTGTTTCCTTCATCAGCCGCTACTGTTTCTTCCTACTTTAACCCTGTCCTCTAAGGCCTCTAAGGAGAGACAAGATTTCCTGAGTGGAGAATTAATAATGGAAATCAAGCAGTAGGCATGGCTGCCCAGCCCACTCTGCCAGCACTTGCAGGTCTCCTACAAAATCCAGGCTTTTCCTGGCTCCGCCCTTACCCTGGCAAACTACCTGCTGCCTTCTTTATCTTTGCTGGTAGCAGCAGAGATTGCAAGTCCATTAAAAGCTAAGAAATGGGACTCTGCTGCCTCACTCCCACAGCTTCCAACTCATCAAGGTAACAAAACATACTTCCCATTGGCAAGTTTGGTGAGCCCATTCATGTGGGGGGAAGGGCTGCAATCCTAAGAAAGCTTTCCTGGCAGTAATTGCCTTGAATAAAATGGGATTCACGTTTGAGTAAACCTGTTTAGGATTGCTCACATTGAGACTGATTTTGCACAAGGAGCTGTGCCGCTGTCATGCCTTCCTTTGCTCCGCTTCCATTGGTCAATTTCCCACTCAAAGCCGCGCGGCCGCATTTAGACCCGCGGCTTCACCTGATTTCCCCCACGGTTTCATGCTCCCACTTTTTGAGTATCATGAACCCGCGGGGAGAATCGGGTGAAGCCGCGGGTCAAAATGCGGCTACGAGTGGGAAATTGACTGATGGAAACGGGGCAAAGGAAGGCGCGATGGCGGCGCAGCTTCTTCTGCGAAATCAGCCTGAGTGTGTGTGTACAGTTTGGTGCAGTGGTTAAGTGTGCAGACTCTAATCTGGGAGAATCGGGTTTGATTCCCCAGCCCTCCACTTGTAGCTGCTGGATGACCTTGGGCAAGCCATAGTTCTGATGAGCTGTCCTTGAAAGGCTGGTTCTGAAAAGAGCTCTCTCAGCCCCACCTACCTCACAGGATGTCTTGTTGTGGGGAGGGGAAGGGAAAGGAGTTAATCCAATCTCTTCTCTTCTTCTTTTCTTCTGCACTAAACCCCTCTTTCTAGGGAAGAAATGGGGGGGGGAGATAATCTCATCAACTTAATAACAAAGCGCTATGACACAATTCCAGTGCAAAACCAAAAGTCAGGTCATCACATTGGTGCAGTGCTGTAGGAGTCCTAGAGCTTTACCTCAATGTAATTGATGCCACTTCCAGTTTTGCGTTTGAAATTACACAAAACAGTTGTATTTTCCCCCCTGCTGGCCTTTCAAGTGGTTGTGGGGAATGGGGGGGTGAGAATGCGAGGGGTCCTGCAATAGCAGCACTCCTGCCTCCTTCCCACCATTGCCACAGGCAGCTGCATATCAGTGGACTTAAAGGGCTGTAAATCCATTTAGGATTGTACTGTCATTCATGAATCTTTCAGGCTTTCAGCTAGTTTGGCATTGCAAAGTCAAAAATAGGAACAACTAAATTAGAATTAGACTTGGTGGCAAAGATCTGATTCGTGTTCCTATGCTTGTGGCTAGTGTGGCAGAAAGAGAGATTTCCCACTTAGCCTTTGTCAACTGGGGGAACACAGCTGAGGGAGGGATAGGTTGCAGAGGAAGGATTAAGGGCAATAAACCACTGTTTCTCTCATGTAAAAGCTTCCCTGAATGACGATTTGTTCACCATGATCATCCCCAAAGCAAGCTAGTGGCCATGTTTTAGGATGCGTTCTCAATTGATACAGGACAATGGTGAAGCCCAACATCATTGTAAATGAAATGTTGTGAACTAAATGTCCTCTGGAAATAAAAGCTTGATAACTACTTTTCTATGCAATTCAGCTTCTTGTTTTCAATCCCAAAACAACTGGGACCTATTACTTCTACCTGTGTTTTGGGATTGGAGTCTAATGGAGCATGCACTGTCTGTAGTGTCCTTCAGACATATCCACAGCTGGATGGGAGCTGCTTTCCATAATATAATGAGATACAGCTGGCAGATGTTAACGCAAGGGGAGGTGCCCCTTCTCTGGGACAGGCCTATTTGATTGGGCTCACCCAACACAGCTGCATCATTTACGCAGGCCATATGAAATCCCACCACACAGGATGACATAGTTCTAATGTCTTTGTTGTTGCTGTGTTTGCTCCAGGCTCTCCCTTTAACCCACAAATTCTTCTGAACAACGCAGTTGGAAATATTATCTGCATCCTAATATTTGGTGACCGCTTTGAATACGATGATGAGACCTTCTTGAAGATAATACATTTGACAGAGGAGATCATGAAGACATTTACCAGAAACTTGCCCCAGGTACCTTCTTAAGTCTGACTGGACAATAAAGAAGAAGAGGAGCTGCCCAAATATCAGTATGATCTGACATTGAGCCATACTTGAAACTGGTGAATAAAGGGAGTGAAATCCAATTCATTGCTGTCCCCTATTCCCCAAATGTTGACATAACAGGCAATTGTCCTTTTGCTGGGTTTCACTATAGATATATATAACCTACAGATTGGTTAGATTAGTGGTCTTCACTATAGATATAGATTAGTGGTCTTTTGGGGCTTTTAGTTATGAACAGGATCAGTGTACTTTTTCAATGGGTAGCAGAACAGTGAAGCATAAACTAATAATAGCTTTAATACAAAACTCAGCGATATCTAGATCATCAGGTCCTTACAAAGACCAGACAATGCATGCACAAGCAGGGATGCGCCATGATGAACTCAGCCCACCACCAATGGCAGATACCAGAGGATCAAAGAAACTTCTGTCTTATTATATGCCTGAAAAACATTACAAAAAAATACAACATGATGCATGACTGGTGGGCTGTTTTGGGCTCCAGTGGGACATAAATTGGGGTGGACTCTTGCTTCCACTGCCAAGAAAGAAGTTCTCACTATTCAAAAGAATCATGAAGTTAATCTCAAGCTACTTCTGACTTCTGCACGGTGTGAAAGGCAGCATGTGTACTTTCAAACCAAATTGTTATACATACAAATTAATAGAAACTGTAAACAGTACCACTTTCAGTCACAAGATGTAAAGGTACTCCTTGTTCTTCTTTGTAATTTAACCTCTGATGACATCACTAGTTTGAAGTGATCTGTTTTAGTGATCAAGTGTGGGGTTTGGTGAGAGAGCCCTTTCTATCAACATTTTTTTCTAAACTGAGATATAGTATTTTAGAACAAGTTGAATAGCTTCAGTGCTCAGATGACCAAATCATAGAACAGGGAAGGAGTCGGGGTGAGGAACTTTCCCCACCAGCGTGTGAAGGAAACTAGTTCTTTTATCATAGTATCATTTCAGAGAAAATACCCTTACCACATTTCTTTCTGTTTCCATTGTTCATATAACAGCTTTTCATTGCAGCATCCTGGCTTGCCTTTATTCCTGGACCTCATCTGAAAATTAGAAAACTGTATAATGAAATTACTGCCATAGTAAGAGAGTTTGTGAATGAACATAAGAAAACCAGGGATCCTTCTTTTCAAAGAGATTTCATTGATGCATTTCTGGAGGAGATGGAAAAGGTAGGAAGGAGAAGTTTAACATACAGGTTCCCTTTGGGTGGCAGCTATGGGCTGTTTGTACTGTCTAATGCCACTTTCTGCCCAGGAGCAGTAAGCACCAATTTATTGATTCCTTATCCCTTTTAAAGATATGTCTTGCATGCCACAAACACAAGTATTGCTAATTTCACAAGTTATCACCCAAACATGATGTAATATTGATTGACCTACTTGGCATGGCAGTGACCAACTGTTAATTTCCTTCAGGTCAAAGGGAATCCAAAGACCAGTTTTCATGAGCAGAACCTTGTTAAAACTATTTATGATTTGGTTGCGGCTGGCACTGAAACCACTGCTTCCACCATACTTTGGGGACTGCTGAAAATCGTCCTCCATCCAGAGGTTCAAAGTAAGTGATGAGCATCAGGGGTAATGTCGACATTCCTTGAAAGGTCTGTGTTTTGAAGCATTTTTCCATTCCTCTGAAGATACAAGTTTGAAAATTTAGATTTATTTCTACTAATCCCAGGAAGGATCCCCATGGAAAGGTTGATAGAAATAATAGCAATAATAAATTGGTGCTATATCCACATTCTTCAGTGTGTATAATGTTCATATTTTGTTTCATACCATCCCAAACATACTTCTCAACTGCTGGCAGTTAGGTTTTCAGACATCTGCAGTTGTGCACTTTACAGGTTTCCAAATAGTCTTGTTGCACAAAAGAAGAGAGGAGATGGGTACACTAATTGTGACTCAGATGAACTTGAGAGGTGGTAGCTAGATAGTCTGAGTCATGGCACATCTCATCTCCTATTCTGTTGTCTGTTTAGGTATGCAAAGATAAGATGCCAGCTGCAACCTGGTATGAAATGGTCCTCTTTCTGAGCCGAGTCATTCCTCTGGATCTAAGCCACCAGCAAGCTAGCTGATGGCTCATCTAGAAAGACTGACTCTTCCCTAACCCCAAAGGTGATGTGGCAGAGAGGCTGTGAGAAACATCTCCACATAGGAATTTTCTGTAAAACAGATCAAAAAGAGATCATGTTACCAAAGAAGCAGATGGGGTATTACCTCAGGAAAGGGTAACATGATTACTTGACAGAATTGGAGGTTCAGAATTAAATGCACATTGACATCTTGAATGCAGGGCAGAGTGAAAACCAATTATTTGCCCCAGTCAGATTATGGCAGGGCTGATGATAATCCAAAAGAAGCAGCCTGATTCTTGGAATTCTGGTGCTGGAATTCAAGCTAAGAATAACAGCAAATAAGGCTTGCTAATGTTGGATTTGAGATACAGAAGATCAGTTTTCACTTGGTGTCTCCTCAGACAAATGAAACATCAGCTGTCATTGTTGATTCCACTGGTCTTTATGAGAAGGGACAGAACTATTAAGCAAAGGGGTTATGGCATTGAGAACAAAAGGAGGGTGGAGTAAACCACTATCCTGATCTGTGTGGAAAGGATACATATGCAATGAATTCATGATGACTTAATTAATATTTCCAGAAAGAGTCCATGAAGAAATTGAGGAAGTACTTGGAAGAGACAAATCACCCATGATGGCAGATCAGGCAAAAATGCCTTATACTAATGCTGTGATCCATGAAATTCAACGTTGTGCTGATATTGCAGCTTTAGCATTACCTTATATAACACGGCAAGATGTTGAAATTGGAAACTTTGTCATCCCTAAGGTACAATCCCTTGAAAAAACACTACTAAGAAATAAAAGCAGAGTTGGCCAGGCACTGCTTGATGGATCCCATAAAGGACATTATGAGAGACCTTTATCCACAGTGGTTCTTAGAACAGTACCAGTTGATTTACCTGGATCTCATGACTGTTCTTAAAATTCATATTGGGCATACATTATCTATCTACCTAACAGCTGAAAGATAAATAATAATGCCAACCACAGTATTAGTTGTATGCATTTTTGACACATGGTATGAAAATGGAGGAACAAACCTCCTGAACAAATGATTTTTGAAAGAAAAACAGACTAATTTCTGCAGAGTTCTACAGTTTGATTCACCACTTCTTTTGACAAATTTTGGTGACAAATCCTAGTAAACGTCTTCCTAACAATCCATCTAGGTATTACGGATGGCAAGAGGCAATGTATGGATGGTCTTGCTTCCTCTGAGCAAATCACTCTAGCAAATCACTGTAGCTTTATATATCTCCCACAGAGCATTTTCCAGTGCTAATGAAATGTTTAGAATGGTAGAAAATAATGTCTTCATACACTTCAGGACTTGCTGCAATGTTTTAGCATCACAAAGAGACTCTAGATTTTGTGCCGGAGAAGCCTTATGTGATGCTGCTTCTAAGCTATCAATTGCCAATTCAAAATAAAAACTCTTGCTTTGGAACAGACTTAAATTGGAGGCCTTATGCGTCATCTCAGTGTAAATTAGAGCTGCCAGGCTGGAAATACAAGATCTGGCTATCTTCTCCTTATCTTGCGGAAGGGCAAGTTCTGCTTATGCCCATGCACACTCCTCTGCTAACATATTTACCTGCCCTTTGGCTTTAACATGAATTTTCTGTCTATAAACTTCACCCAGACCTCTATATGCATTCCACATATTCAAAAAAGAAGTCTCACCTGAGACCAGCTGGGTTTTCTAATCAAGGCTGTTATATTTTGTTAGAGGACTGTAGTCTTCAATCACTTGTCTTCGGTGCTGAACGATGAAACCATGTGGGAGAAGCCACACCAATTTTACCCTGAGCACTTCCTAGATGCAAGTGGACAGTTCGTTAAGCGAGAGGCCTTTCTGCCTTTCTCTGCAGGTAAATCAAAGAGAGTATAATGGCACTAGACTAGGAAAGGCCTGAGAAGCTGCAGACCAATATACATAAATTTCCCCGACAGATTCCCTGGGGAATTTTCGGGTTGGGAAAGCTTAATAGGAGTAAGCATCCTTTCCCCTACACACCATGCTCTCAATCCGAATAGGCCACCTATGTACTTCACAATTAAATTTCAACATGGAACACCCAGCATACCCCTAGACCTGGACAGATAGGATTGCCGGCCTCCAGGTCAGGCCTGGAGATCTCCTGGAATGACAACTGATCTCCAGACTACAGAGATCAGTTCCTCCGGAGAAAATGGCTGCCTTGGAGGGTGGACTCTGTAGCATTATAGCCCTCTGAGCTCCTTCCTCTCCCCCAAACCCTGCATCCCCCAAGCTCCATCCTCCCAAATCTCCAGGAATTTCCCAACCCAGAGTTGGCAACCCTACAGGCAGACAAGAAACAGGGTAACATGTAGTTAGGACCTTAATTGTGGCTTTCTGATGTGTGCCAAAAACCGAATCTAAACTAGAACATGATAAGGCAAGGGTTGAAGAGTTTGCAAACCTGATTGAATTCATTGATTTCTGTGGCTTCCATGATATAAAAAAATAGTGTCAGAATCAGTCCTGTATGAGAGCTAGGGATGCTATTCCCCTGGCTCAGACTGGCAACCCTAGTGAGAACTGACTGTTGTATGTGGAGCTGGGTTCTGTGGTCTCCTTCCTCCAAGTCTGAGTTACTCTGCTTCCCTTCCCTTCAGGTCGCCATGCCTGTCCTGGAGAACCAATGGCTAGAATGGAGCTCTTCATCTTCTTCACCACCCTCATGCAGCATTTCACTTTCTCCATCCCTGAGAACCATCCCAAGCCCAGTGAAGAAAGGCTCTTTGCCCTCACTGTTAGTCCGCCCCCTTTTCACATTTGTGCCATCCCCAGATAATATCTCCAAGGTATCGGCTACTCAGTGTTCTGACCTAAGAACTGCAACTTGCTAAGACAGTGAAATTTGGGGGAAACGTTTAACATGAGATTTTTGTTTGCATTTCCTTACTCTGAAAATGTGGTCAGGGACTAAAATGGATGCTCAGAACTTTAGCAAGTTTCTAAATGGAAAGAAACACAAATTTTAGGGAAAGAATGAAAAACCATTCTCCTTCCCTCTTGTGTTTCAGACCATACATGTTTAATTTTTTTTAGCGGTTTCCAGTATTTCAGATTATCAGGACATCTAAATGAAAGGAACTCTTATTAAACACTCTTAAAATGCAACTGTGATTGCAATTTAATACTGAGTTTATTAAAGACAAGGTCTTTGAACCTAGCTGCCAATAATGCACAGTGGAATTCCCCAAACTTGAAATGTGATTCATCCCTCAGGTGGAGAGATGCTTATGTAAGTGGCTAGTAGCAAGGAACTGTTTTCTGTTTCCTGTATTCTGTGCTCTTTCATCTGTCTGTAGACTCATCTCAAATATCTGTTTTGTAATATAGGAATAAGCCAAATGTGTTGAAAACACAGTGGTAGGTGTATATGTGTGTTTGTGTAATTTCTGGCGGCAGGGATTCTTGCAACACTACTTCTGGATGAAGTAGTATGTATGCTTTCTTTAAATCTCCTCTTGTCTTTCCTATTTACCTTAACCCTCCTCCTACCTTTTCTCCTTCATCCAGAAATACATCAATCAAATCCCTTGCAAAAGTCTGATCACACATTTCCTTGTGTTCATGTATAACCTCTGCTAGGATGCCAAGAATTTCCACATGCTTATTTGAGGTCCAGGAGTATGAGCAGAAAACAATAGGATCTTTTGTTGTCTAAATTCATCTTAAGTTCAAACAGGTCCTGATTAGTCTGGGGCTCAGCTGAAGGGAGGCCGGTTTTTCTCTTGACACTGTCTTAGCTTCCAGTGGGCATGATGAGATCAAGATTGTGCAATAAAGGAAAATAGAAAACTGACTTTGTTGAGGTAATTTCCATTTTCATTTAATCAATCCTATCTAAATACTAGTTCCTAAAAGTGGAGCCTAAAAGCTGCCCGTGTGGATGGAGAGTCAGCTTGGGAAGGCATGTCTGGGCCTGCCTGCCTACTCTCCTGGAGGAGAGAGGAGGATACAAATGTCGCGCTGCTCCTTTCAAAACAGCACAAAGAAAGGAAGTGAGCTGGAGTAAAAGAAACTCTTAGTTTACTTCCAGACACTGAGCGAGGCAGCCCTCTAATATGATGAAACAGAATACCTTGCCCCCTGACTCTGATACGAAGAGCATAAGTACATAAGAACATAAGAGAACATAAGAGATGCCAATGTTGGATCAGGCCAAAGGCCCATCCTGTCCAACACTCTGTGTCACACAGTGGCCAAAAATACCAGGTGCCATCAGGAGGTCCACCAGTGGGGCCAGGACATTAGAAGCCATCCCACTGTTGACCCCCCCAAGCACCAAGAAGACAGAGCATCACTTGCCCCAGACCCCCTATCTATACCTTGTGGCTAATAGCCACTGATGGACCTCTGCTCCATATGCCTATCTAATTCCCTTTTGAAGCCGTCCATGCTTGTAGCCGCCACCACTTCCTGTGGCAGTGAATTCCAAGTGTTAATCACTCTTTGGGTGAAGAAGTACTTTCTTTTATCCGTTCTAACCCGACCGCTCAGCAATTTCATGGATACACAGGTTGCCAGGCAGTGCCTACCAACTGGCAGAAGGGTTGTGGGTAGCTCTAGGCAAAACCAAAGAGTTTCTGGCAATCCCTAGACCTACCCAATGTCACTTCTGGTGTTTTTTTAAAACCAGAAGTGATGTAGCGCCACATGTCATGATGACATGGGTTTTTAATCCCCCCCCCGCCCCGCTACTTGGGTGTACAACCAGACTCACAATCAGATGCACATTGGGGGAACTCACCTTAAAAAGTTCTTGTTTGCTTGGGACTGTTATAGAGTGCTGTGAGAAGGGAGGAGGAGGGGCTTCCGGTTTCCCTCCCAATTCACTTTTGGCAGGGTCTTTTTTGCCCCCTTTCTCTGGCTCCATGCCACCTAGGAAGTTTGGCAAGAGTATCTCCTCCTTTATAGTGTCCAAGCATGTGGAACTGCCTTCATTCCAACAATAGGGAGCATCGTTCCACTGATGGAAAATGTGGTCTGGAGCCAGCCCATATGTGCTTTAGGCTAGGCTCTGAGGGTTTACCCATTCTGTTGTGTAGAACTATGTGTATTTTGAACAGGATGCTATTTTAGAGAGTGTTTTGCTAATACTATGCTAATACAAATTAAGTATTAGGTCGATTTGTTCAAATCAATTCGGTGGAAGAATCTTTCGGAGAGACAGTGTGGTGTAGGGGATGGATGAAGAGAAGAGATTGGATTTATACCCCGCCCTACACTTGGGGTCTCAGAGTGGCTTACAAACTCCTTTCCCTTTCCCTTCCCACAACAGACACCCTGTGAGGTAGGTGGGGCTCTTTTTCAAGAACAGCTCCTTATCATAAGGTCATCCAGCCAGGTGCAAGTGGAGGAGTGGGGAATCAAACCCGGTGTAACAGGCCAGATTAACCCCCCGGCCAGAGTAACCCCTGAGTTACTCTGGCCTAGCCTAGAATAACCCCGGAGGGGTTATTGAGGGGTTATTCTGGCCTAGGCTAGAGTAACCCCGGGTTAATCTGGCCGGCTGTAACAGGCCAGATTCACCTCCCCCTGGCCAGAGTAACCCCGGGGTTACTCTGGCCTAGCCCAGAGTAACCCCTGCCGGGCCGGGCCAGAGTAACCTCGGGGGTTAGTCCAGATGGGGGGTTACTCTGGGCTAGCCCATACTAACCCCTGCCTGGCCAGAGTGGTAAGTTAAATGTCAGCTGAATCCAATCTCTTCTTCTTTTTAACTTCTTTTTTTAACTTCTTCTTTTTAACTGCACAACACAACAACCTGTAACCCCGGGCTTAGTTGAGGGTAACTTAGCTTCTGAGGGTTTCAGGTCCATGAGAAACTTGTCAGGCAATCTGAGATTCCTCTACAGGGTATGAATCCAATCTCATTAGTCAACAGACCCAAATATCAACAGTACTACGACTGACATTTCTTTGGAGAGCCAAATTTTTTAAACTATATAGGTAGGTACTTTGTTATTAACTTAATTATGGTACTCCTAAGGCGGCCTTTGCTGAAAATGTCCTCGATCTGATTGAGGTACGTTCACTGAAGTCGACCCCTTCCAACTCTCCCTCCCCCCCCCTTTTTAAAAAAGGTTGCCCACAACTTTAGAGAAGGAAGGAAGGAAGGAAGGAAGGAAGGAAGGAAGGAAGGAAGGAAGGAAGGAAGGAAGAAAGGAAGAAAGGAAGAAAGGAAGAAAGGAAGAAA